AGATTAGATCACTTTATCATTAAATCATCTTTAAGATATTGAAACTCGAGATTAAATCATATTTCTTGGGAAGGCCCATACCTGTTCCATGTCATGATTAGAAGAAATTTATGAAACTTTCGATCTTATTTTATTCAATCTTTTTTTCCAAATGTATTTTTGTTTTAATGCATAACGTTTTTTTGTTTACAATAAATGGAAACTGATTTAACCTTCAATGATGGAAATGAAATTTGATCGCGAATCGATTTCAGTAACTTTATTAATTCATGTGGAATGTCCTGGGTGTTACTTAACAGCATGCCACTTTGCCACTGATATTTACATTGAGCTCTTCTGACTTAATTGTCATTAAATATGTGCATAACAACAACAAAACGTACTGACCATCTGTCCTTTTCACAAAATATGACCTCAGAGTATATTTTCTGGTAGGATGTTTTGTGGAAATACTCATTGACTCAAGATTAGAATTTTCCTATAGTACATGTACCACAAGTATAGACTTTTAACCGAAGACAGAGGGAATTGCTTTCACTGGATGATATATTACTTAATAACATATCTTTACTGTACACCTTCTATATATTACTATAGACACTTTGCACATATTGCTATAGACACATTATTTGTAGTTTACCACAGACACACTATCTATATAGTATTGTAGACACACTATCTATATATTACTATAGACACAATATCTATATATTACTATAGCAAAAATGAAAACATTAGTCTAACTTGAAAAAAATCTCATCAGACATACCATATCTGAAAGATTGCTTTCCACCATTTACAAGAGTTGTCGTTCATGCCGTGCTGCTGCCACAGGAAGTGCAGAGAAACTGCATTTCCTTTTTAACCAATTGAATGCACTCTGATTTGTTTTAGATTTTTTTCTTTGTAGTTCATCATGAATTGTGATTTGTCGTTTCATCGTTTTGCTTTGAACCAATTTTTTTTAACTCCTTAATATCTTATATTTTAACAAAAGCAGATAACAATGAATTCTTTAACATACTATACAAATAATAATACTGATATATTTCTATTACTAATACTATAACGTATATGAATAAGGAGATGTGATATGACTGCCGATGGAATACGTCTTAGGAAAAACTGAAAAATAAAGCAAGCCTCATATTGTTTACTATTAGCAAGCTATACAAACAAAGTATGAAATATGAAACAATTTAAAAACAACCAACGACGGGAGGATTTAAGCTGATAACATCTAACAAAAACTATTATGATAGACGCCAAGAATTGGTTACCACTTGACTAAAGGCTCCTTACCTAAGTATTGTTTGATTGCCAATGCAAAGGCCAATGCTACAAGTATCTATAGATCAGAGACAGAGATGCGAATAATAACAAATGACTGTACGGCGTTTAACAAAAAAAAAAATTATTGAGAAGGGCTTGAAGCATTACAGAGGTACGAAGCACAAAAACAATTAATTCACTAAGCATTTATTCAAGAGTACTTTTTTTTTTACCGAAAACTATTTCAAAGCTAGATTTTAACTAAATTTACTAGACTGTTTATTTAAGAAATAGAGAACCATGGGAAAAATTGTGAATATAGGACAAGATATCAACAGAGAAGAGATAATTGTAGCCAAAAAAAAAGAAGAATAAAAAATAATGGGTAGCTGAAATATAAAGAAAAGAGAATAAGGGTAAAAATAAAAAAAAAGAATAGAGAAAAGTGGTTTCAATGACAAAGAATGAAGGACCCCAGACCCTCCCCCACACAACAAGGAAGTTCTAATTTTAGAAACAGGTTTTAATATAAATACTTCCTGTATCGTAATGTCGCATCGTGTTACAATTACTTTCAATATCGAAACAAATTAATATGGTCATACACAAAGCTTTAATGGTTTAAACACAATTCAAAAGTGGAAACAATTTATTCCTCTATTAAAAACCGACTGACTTCCTCAAATACTTTTTGGTTCCAGATGATAACCGTAGATAACGGAAGGAAAATTAAAATATTCTCATTCATAAAGCATTAAATATTTAAACGTAAATAAGTAATAGACTGTGAAGAAGGTTATTCTTCCTCAATCATATATAACTGTTTTCTTATGAGAAAACTCGTTCATTAAAAAGTGATCGGTTTTCAAACTTATGGTCTTTCGGGTTTTTTTCTGTATGCACATAATGTACATGCGATCAACACATAAATTTCATCACCAAAGGAACATGTCTCCGTCATTTTTAATTCATGTCGACCCTAGTCTACAAAAAAATTTATCTAACTTTAATGTAAAATGTACAGGTGACACTTCATGTGGAATCTTCATATAAAAAAATAAAACTTAAAAACGTTGTTGACCTTATACTTCCACTTTTAATGTTTCACAATAATAGTCATTATTAGTTTCATCCTATACATAACTTCCTTAATTATCTCTTTAAAGCAGAATTACTGTGGTTTGCCGACAGCGATATGAAAATGTTCTCTTTGTTTGATGATGCAGACATGAACAGACGTATACGTTAATGGTAAGTAGACTTACAGCATATTCTTATATGAAATAATAAAATGTCTAAAAGTGTTATGGTAGCTTAGATGATACGAGTGTGATATTGAAAAAAAAACATAATATTATCTATTTGTCTTAACCATAGGCCGTCTGTTTAAGGTTACCAATTGCATAACAAAACATTTTTGTTACTAATAATATTTCCTTTTATATAGAAAGAGAAGATTTACGACAAAATTATTTTAAATCAAACGAATACCCAAACTCCCGAATGTTATAATTTTGACTAGTTTTTGAATCTATGTATCCACCCAAACAAACAAAAATAAATAAGCAAATATATATATGTATAAGGTCTTTTAAAACAGACAGGATATTGAACAGTTTTCATACCCGTCATAAAATTTGTAGATATATAAGGTTAGTTGAATTTATAAATTACAATATTGTGTTTCCATTTACAGTGGGGAATCTAGTGAAAAAGAACAAAAGAGAATTACCTCTTCTAATGATAGAGTCGAGAACAATCAATAATAAAACAATGCCGGTGACGACACTGATCAAAAGTTATTTCTAAATAACAATTGTACATTTTAAAGAAATTATTTGTTACACTATGTTATTAGAAATATACATACAAATGCACGATGTTTTATGCTCAGTATTTATCGAAATTATTGCATTAGAATCTTGTGAAACTGAAATCTAAAAAATGTCAATCTTTGCTGCATATTGATAAAAACAAATTGGAAAAAATCATGTACATACCAAGTCTAAAGTTCTTTCGGGTTACCAATTTTTGGAGTGTTCTACAAAGTCCTTAGCATGTTACAATTTCCCAAAAAATTTAATATACCAATCTAAGTTTTCGAGTACACCGGTCTGCTTTTATCACATGAAAATTCAATATAGAAATATTGTCTTTTTATGAATATAACAATAAAAATATCTCTCTGTGCAGGTTAAAAGATTAAAGATAAATATTCTTATTAAATATACATCTTTTAACTATTTTTTATTCAATTTTAAGAACATGTCGTCTCGATTTTTGTACATGTATTTGTGGTCTTCTCGATCTATTCACATTCAATGCTTACATCGGGATAAGGTCCGTTTGAATTTGCAAAGTAACTTAATTTCAAAAATGTCAATCTTTGCAGCATATCAATCGATTCCTTTGGAATTTTTTTCCTGACTTTTTGATCTAGCTAGCGCTGCATATATATACGGATAATAAGCATGTTCCAGAGAGGAATACATCCAGTAAAAAAAAAAATTAAAGTTGGTACTCCAGGAATTTATTGGCATAGCAACATTTTAAACCAATTTTACACCAAGCTCATTTAGTCTGCTGTACTCGTCGTTTTCTATTTAAGGAGGGAAATGACAACATTAAATGGAGGTTTTGTTTTTATTTCAACTTATTTTTATTTTAACTAATTACCAGAGTGTGAATTTATATTTGATAGCGTCCTTGATAAAATGGGACAAACATTGAAAAGATCTAGTTTTCAGTGTTTACAGGGGAGGCAATATTTTGTCACTAGATTTCCCACAGTTTACACGATAAACTGATCTATACATATGCCGTTGGTGTATTGTAACCGACACAAGTAACAGAAAAATAGATTGTCCGAAATGAAAAAAAAAAAAAAAAACAACTGCGAAATATTCGTTGATATTAGCATTAAAACATAATCTTTTATTATATACATTACAAGTATAACATCATGTGTTTGGTCCTATCTTTAACAATATGCCGTCCGTAAAATCTAGTCAATTGCTTTACAAAATAATTTGTGTAACTGATAATATTTCCTTTTACTCACTCTTGATATTAAATTCAATACTTAATACTATCGCTACTGCCCTACATAATTTTAAGGTTTTTTGGTACATACATGAATAACAAGGTGTTCTTTCCAATTTGTATTAGGTTTAGGGGAAATAGAACATAATTGTGAATAGGTCAAATGCATAAAATACAACTGTATAACGAATAATGACATGAGGCGTTAACAATATGATATCTTTTCGCAAAACTGTCATATAATAACTATTAATCAATTACTATGTATCAATAGTTTATACAATCATAATTAAGTGTATGAGTTAAAGGAAGAGTTTTATTGGTTATTGCGAAAACAAATTTGGTTTATTCTTCGTATTTGACCGACAAGAGGAAAGGACAAATTTGAGGGTTACACAGTTGAAATTTTTTCCTCCGGTATACAAATGATGCACACGAATTATATTACCTATACACAATGAAAATGCCTACTTCAAAATAATAAATACATATTTTAAAATGTGAATTGTTCACTCGAAATATTGAAATCTATTTCAAATTACGTTTTTAGTTTACAATTTCCTGATATGTGTAAAACTTCCTTTAAAAACTACATATTTGTGAAGTGACATTAAATACAGCTCTATTTTATAAGGAAATAAAAATGGTTAAAACCAAATGAGAAATTTCGAAGTGCTTTGTAAGAATGTTTTATATGGCGTTCTGCTCTACCTCTGTTATTCTGGTTTCTGAATGTTTGGTTTATTTAAAACTTGGTATAGAGTTGTTTATTTCTTGAGGATCATTACGCTCATCTATAGACGGTTTTGGATTTTTGTGTTTCAGGTTTGTTGGGTCAATGACCTATAACCTCCATATTTATTTTTGTTTATATCAAACGGAGGTTGGTAAGTATTCTTTCAAGTGTAACGAATAGGGAAATTTTTAGAAAAAAAATATGTTCATTTAATTTTTACTCTTAATCAGCATATTTTACTTGAATATAGTAAATAAGGAGATAGAAAAAGTCGCCAATGTACAATTTTATTTGATTTGAAAGAAAATATACATTACTTGTTTTGAAACTTTGAGAATATTTGTCAGTTCTGTGCTAATTAAAGAACTACATACTTTGAAGTAAAGATTTTAGGGATTTTTTTCAACTGCTACAATGGTGATGTCCATTTAAAAGAGTTACTAAATCGATAGATCTGAAGATTCTTTTCTAAAATAACATGGCGGATTTAATTAAGTATTTCTAATTATGACTTCCTAGAAATGCAAGTTTAATAGTAGTAAGTTCTGTCTTAAACTGTATGATCAGAGTTTAAAAAGTTTCGGATACTTTTCGGATACATTATTTTGACCAACATTACACATTAATATTTTCTGTTAAAAACCCTTTCAAGACGCTCATGTTCGTACAGATCTTTATAATAATATCTTTATATCCTGTTTTATTTCATAACCGTTACGGTAAAATATTTACTAAATATATGTTCAAAATATCTTCACGGTACCGTCTAGCCAAAAAAGCAGGCAAGATTTTAAAATGATGTGACAATGAGAGCTCTATTAAGTTGGGTGACAACAACGAGGGGCAATGAAAAGCAGGCATTTACTCATATTATGATACAAATTAGCAAGCACGTAGAAATGCATTTCAGTAAAGAAACAAGTAAAATAAAAATAATACCGAAATCTATTTAGATTGTAGTTATAGTAATTGAAACATATCCGTCGTCAAAACACACAAAAAAAATCAAAAAAAATACCGAAAATACCGAATACAAAACGGAAAGTCCCCCAGTAATGAAAGATATATAATAGGTGTATTAGTTTAAGTTAAGACAATAATTAGCAAAACGAAAGTAGACATAAATCTTAGTTATTGCAAAGTGATTAAAAATATCATACTTTGTTGATTACTGAATTTATTGAACTTTACATTTTATATATTACGCTAGAATATAATATAGTTAAAAAAAAAAATTATTTCATAGAAAAGTGTTCACAATATGTTATATCGCCTGAAACCATATAATGTTCTTCCATCCATCCATCTATCAATATATTACTTGATTTATTTCACTTGACTGGGCTGAGTTTAACTGGTTCGCTTATCATAGACCAGTCCATCTATACACAGGTGTTTTGGGATAAACTCATCAATGAAGTGTCCAGTTATGGTCATTGATCCGGTTAAAATATGTAAACACTATATCTGTAGTCGCAAAGTAAATAGTGAGATAACGCCGTTGATTTTCTTGTAAAACGGAGTTTAAAAACATGTAAAATTTTTCACATTTTTGAAATTGTGGATATGAAAGTATGACTATGACGACGGCAGTTGCAAAATATGCATATTTCGTTATCTTATAACGTTTTGATATACTTTTTTTCCTCCTTTTATTCCGAATGCATTTTCTGGGGGGACGGAGCAGGGAAAATTTCCGTATGGTAGCCTCACTAACAAAGGTAGCTTCTGCAGTTCTCTTTGTAAAGGCTTTTTCCGGAGTGGCCGTCGGTTGCTGAATCTGCGACTCGAAAAACTTTGACACGTTGTAAACTATTTCTTTTGACTGAGAGAAAAGTATCTTCTTACGCTCGGCCATGATTCGTAATACAGAATGATTTACCCGAACTTATATAGCAGATGTGCTTAAATAGAAAATCTAAGAAGCGGTAAACATACACGGCTAAATCGAAAATTTCTTTTTTTGAAAGCTGTATATTATGATTATATTTAAGGAAGAAAAAATAGGGTGTAAATATTTTTATTTTTTATATATAATTTTTATAAATCCAGTTTAAAAAGAATAATACAATAGCCGATACTTTGAAATACTAAGCTATAGCACATATAAATGTTATCAATTTTAAACTATTTTATTCGTCCCATATCATACGCTCAGTTCTTTTGTTTATCCGTTTAGTGACACTGATAGGTGATTAGAAATCAGTAATAATAATTATAACGGCAATCATCCTTATCACACACATCTTCAAATAGACTTATGCAAATTAAAACGTAAGTTGAAAAAACATTAGTAATACTAATCTTTAGTTTTACTATTAACTTATCATACAAACACACGTACTAGAATTTATAGGTTTATAACATTTTCTTTCAAAAAGTAAGTAATTAATGATAAGAATAAAACAACACAGACAAGATATGTGAACAGTTTTTTGTGGTCAGAACTAAGAAATAGAAAAACAACTGGGAAAGATAATTAATATTAACACTTTGTTGATTCATTCACAGTTGTATGGAATAGAAAATGCTGGTCTAAAATCATTTTTAGAATTACATTTTTTAGATGATGGATGAAGCCAGGTGTTTGGAGAGGCTGGTTGAACAGAGGTCTCACAGAATATCTTATACAAGACTTTTGTCATGGGAAATTGGTCAAGCAAAGCCAACATGTCCTAGAAGAAAATGGAAAAATAAGAAACGAGAGAGTTTAGAGTTCCAAAAGGACTCGTCGTGTTGTCTTGTTCAAGACAAAGGCCACAAAACAGACACCAGTCTTCAAAGTATCGAAACTAAAAGTATAGAATCTGACATAAGTTCAGAAAGTGATAATACTTATTACTCTGCAGATGAAAGTGAACTACAAGATTATAACTTCACTAAAGCAGATGAATTGAGTGGTGCATTTGAAGACAGAAGTGGGGGAAATGATACTGACATTGAAGACGATAGTGGTAAAGACATCAATAAACTTGATGAACTGAGTAATGAAAATGAAGAATTTTGTGCTGAGGTTAATGATAGTAAATGCAGTGATTCTGATAAATTTAATTCAAAATGCAAAAATGCTAATTCATCTCAGAAGAAGAGAGCACCAAGCAATAAGCAAAAGAGAAAAAGACGTGATAAAAGGAAAATGTCCTGGGATTACAATAATCCATTAACTTATATACATGATAACATAGAGCTTAGTGGTGTAGAAGAGGATATAAACGAGAGCGATCTTAGTGTTAAAAAAACGGTTCCAAGTCTTGCAGAACTTTGTCTCATGAGCAATAAAGGATTAGTTTCAGAAAGAAATACATTATGTAAGACATTCAGAAAAATGTATTGTGACATTTTTACAGAAACAACTTTTCACAAAGATCAGTTAAAATGGTTATTCTGTGTTTTATCTTGTTTAGAGCAAGAGGAAGAAACTCAAGCAAATGGCATCAAATATAAACCGATCTCTAGATGGGTTCATCATATTGACAAAGATGGTTTGAGTAATAAAAAAGTTTTTCTTCGATGTTGTAGAAACATTTGGAACACCGAATTGTATATGAAAAGATATGCAAATCCTTTATTACAACCTCTTTATAGCTGGGGTGACAGTTAGTCACATGTAACATCAACTGCATGCCTTCCAAATTATTTTCTGTCGTCAGTTTTTTTCACAAATCGAGATGTTGATGCAAGTTACGCGAGCAGTTTGCTTGGACTGTCAGGTGAAATATTATTATACATTGGATATTTAAACATTTTTTATATAATTTATAAATTGTTTTATAAAACGACATAAGAGTCATTTATACAAAAAAAATGAAGATAGTACCATTCAATAAATCTTGGTACCTGTATATCCATTAAAGCTTAAAAATAAGGAAATAGGTTCATTATATTTCTGGTTTTTAAGAAACTGTAGGACCTATGTAAATGCTTTTTGAAATGCTGGTTGGATCCCGCGGCAGTTTGAATTTATTAAATTTTGTTGAGTATATAAAAAATTGCATTAATTTGAGAAAAATAAATGATTCTCTTCACCCTTGAGTGACATAAAAAAATTGGTTCATTTCCTGTACGTTTTAATGTTGTCTGTTTAATATATGAGAATGCCAAACATTGAATTTTCCAGAATGACTCCAAAAACTTCAAGATGGCTTTTACATGTAAATTATCTATTATTCTAGTTTTTGCCACAGTTATAGATTCTATGTTACCTGCATCTTATATTGAACCAAGAAGATACAGTACCTTGAAAGGCAGAGTGAAGCATATCCTTCAGAAAAGGTGTATATCAATGAAAACTGTTGACGTTTTCTAATTTGTAAAAGGAGTTCACGATAAGACAAATTTAAACTGCCAAAAAGAAATACCAGATACCTGATCCATATATTTTTAAAACATATAAAATTTACATCAACAAATCAAAGAAAATTACCTGTTTGTGAGGGTGACATGTTATAAGATATGTTTCAAAAAACCTTAGAAATATAAATAAACGGAGACCAGGGTTTACATCAATCGGACAATATACCCAACAACACAAGAAAAAAAGTACAATTTATAGCTCAATATATGTTTTTCACCGAAAGACGTGTCTATACCCTTCGTCAAGCACGCATCCTTGATATCACCTAGTCCGATGTCAATATGCATGCATTGTTCTGTTATTTACCTATTGATAGATGTACTATTTGCTAATTTTTGCATTAGTTATCGAAATCACATCTTATCTTTTGTTCAAGAATTCCGCTTCATATGATATCTTATGACTTTGGGAGGGGGAGGTCGGATATTTTTCTTACCTGCTTAATCAATAAGTAATACTTTGTAGATTTCCAGTTGGAACCAAAGTCTGTTTTGATATAGCCATGCCATATGTTTATTGGGCCAGAGGAGAATTAAAACTTGCTACAGATCATTTCATGGCTCTAATACAGACAGAAAAGAGAGGTAAAACTGAGGCTGGTGATTTCAAAGGGAGAATCAGCACTCGAGGAGAGACGGGCAAAGTAATGACAAAATACGACAAAAAGACAATCACTAGTCTACAAAACACTATATACTAAGCTAAAGACCGAGCAATATTTACTCGGCCAAAAACGGGGGATAATCTCAGGCGCTCCGGAAGTGTATGACAGATCCTGTTCAATATGTTTCACCTGTTGAGTTCAAATTGTGAATTAAGTCTCATTCATTGATAAAAAAGATATGAGGGGGAGGGGAACTGAAGGGGTCAATTATCTCGGGAATATAAAATGTTGGACATTAGAGAATAGATATGTAACTGTTTTTAATCTCCATTGCATTAGACATTTTATTTGAATTTTGGTTCTTTTTTTCATTCAAGCTAACATTATTTGCTTTTTGTGGCTGGTCTTTACTCAATATTCAAAATAATTTGGAATAATTATGACCTCATCAAATAGATCAAATAGATATTGTTACAAAAAGTGCGCTTTCCTAAACCAAAAACAAAACTAACATGTCATTTGCTTTTACGCAAAATGTTCCCAAAAAACTTACGTAGTGTTACAAAATAACCGACCAGCCTTCCATTAGGTAATTTCATAGTTGTACTTTTAAGTAAAAGTTTCCATTGATTTAAACAAAACAAAAAATAGTTTTGTAAAAAATTCGAAATTATAAAATGATTTATAATAGATTGTGATTCAATTGAAAATTGTTATCTCAAATGAATTTTATCAGATATATCTAAGTCATATAAAGGCGCACCATGATTGCCACTTAAATACATATATTTGTTTCTTTAAACATTGTAATACCAACTTTATTTAAGATGATATTTTTATTAAGAAGTAATAGCCCTTCGCTAACTTTTTTCCCGGTGACTTATTTGCAAATTTAACTAACTTTTTCATTTACATTTTTATGCTGAAACATTCAAGTCTGACATATTGGCAACACTTTTTTTTCTACATGCAAAAGTCACGAAAATTTATGTGATACTTTACAGTACATGTATATGGGGCTTCAAACTGGAGGAATGTTCTTAACAGCATACATGTATCTTATCTCAGGGCACATACTATTTAATGAGATTGAAATGAAATGAAAAACACTCTCTTGTTACAGAGCTATTAGAAATCTTATACTTAGGTTTAACGAGATTTAAGGTACGAAAATGTCCAATATGAAAATTTCCAGTTCTTCATTTCTTTCTGCAGAGGATTTTTATCCCACAATATGGAAGACACGTATATTTAGTGTGCACCATTGAACTGTATCAGACTAATCAGAGTGGAAGATTTTGTAAATAAATAAATATATTAAATAACCTAAGTCTTGTACCGTTTTTGCTGAGGAACCGTTGCACTTAAAAGTACCTTAAGCTACAGCTGCATTAACAAACGACTACTTTGATTCTCTGAATGATAAAAGAAATGAAAAAAAAATGAATAACATTGTCAAATATTAAGATATACCAAAAAATAAAGGATGTTGTACACAGAAAGAATAAAAAATGATAAATAGAAAACAGATATTTTTCAAGGACACCCCCACCCCTAAAAAAACCTCGAAAATATTTGGTCATCAAACTATCTTTAATAAATTATGTATTCCAAGTGCTGCAAAAATACCAGTGGTTCTTGAAATATTTAGGAACATTTGACTTGTAACATGTCGGTCTCCAACTTTGGTACTTGTGTGAAATAAAAAAGTTGTCCAGTTGTCGGTATAAAGAAATACTTCACGTCTTTGTCCTTAAATTAGCGATCAGTCCAAATAATACGAGTATTTAAATTGCTTTAATTGTTATCTTTATAGTCAACTATTCTATGGGTTAATGGTCTTACTCTTATATCAGTAATTTGATATTTTAATGAGAATTAAAGCACTGTATTTGAATGAATTAGCCAGAATGCATGCTCAAGTTGGCGAAGGTGATCTAGCAGCTAGATTTTACAGAATGGCTAGTGATGTGGCACAGGAAAAATTCAGGGAATGTAAAGCAGCAGACCAGATAAGTGGTCAGACACAGATGTTACTAGCAAACCTCAATGATCAGGGGTAGGTAGTGGTCTGCCAAAGATGTAAATGAAAACGGTTCATAGTCCGTGGTAGGTAGTGATAAATCATAGATCTTATGGGCAAATCCAAATGATCAAGAGAAGGTAGTGACCAGACATGCATTTCAGTGGCTAATCAGATTGATAACGGTGAATTGTCAGACACAGATGTAATTGGCCGACCTGAATGTTCAGGGGGGTAGGTAGTACTCAGCCAAAGACGTAAACGGGCAAGGTACATAATGCGTGGAAGGTAGTGGTCAATCACAGATGCAAATGGCAAATCTGAATAATTAGGAGAAGGTAAACGTCAGTAACAAACGTTAGTCGCCAATTGTAAATGAACCGGAGAAGTTAGTGACTAGTCAAAAATTTCAGTGGCTAATTTGATTGATAAGGGGTGAACGGTCAGTCAAAAATGTCAGAGGCAAATCTTAATGCTAAAAAATATGATAAAAGAAACTTCATTTAAAAAGTTATTCCTACAATTTTTTTTATCCTTCTTTGAATAATTCCTGATATCAATGCATCTTTTTATGACAGAAACGGCACAGAACCATAATCTTGTAAGCTATTTCTTAAAACTAAACTTGGGAATCATGAATCTAAAATTATTACTGAAGTAAGTGATTTTTTTATACAGAGGAAAAGTTCTGTACTTAATCCCCGTTATTTTCAAGAAATATGGTTCATGTTTATTCATAATAAAATACGATTTCATGTTTATTCTTTGTGTAATTAGTTTCTCAATGCCAGATTATCTGTCACAAATAACTGTGGCATGCTCATTACTGTGGAATGATAACAAGCGAAGTTCAAATCATTAATTTATATGTGTTTTAATAAAATTTTATGAACTTATAACATTATTAGACACAATTTAACCCATTTAAGAAAAATCCAATATATAACATTACACTTTTTACGATGATTGTGATTAATCTTAATATGTGGCTATGTTTTACATCTTGTCTACTTCATTTTCAGTTTTGTTATGTCAGTTATTAGATATTTATTTTTGATTTCTGAATTTTGTTTAGTAACTGTCTTATTGTTTTGTATTTCATGTCTACTGTTATTCAAATAAATATTTTTTTGAGGATTTTGAATGAAGATAAGGCAAGAAAGTCCAAAAGATACTGGACAAGTGTCCTATCCTCCCCCTACTTCCACAAAGAGGAAAGTGAACGTGCCGCTATCGAGGCGATGTTATGTTTCCATGGTAATTGTTGGACAGGTAACATTAATGTTTTTCAATCTGTAAAACTGCTAGGAAGGAATCCCACTTTAACAAGTGCTAGAGGTGTTTTCTCTGCACTTGAAATTCATGTGACCTTGTTTTGAAGTACATCAATAACTTTATTCAGCATTCACATTTTGGTTTGGTTTTGTCAAGTGCTTGACGTGATTTTATGTCCTGAACTTATATACAATATCAATATATTGCCATAACCGATATATTTCAAAATTATATATAAAAGATTCATAATCAAGATATATATCAATTTGCATTATACGAATTATACAAATAAGAAGAGAAAACAAGCCTTTTAGAGAATCTTGGTAAAGAATATGTATGTAGCATGAATCAAATCGTTAATCTGCCATTATTTATTGAATTGGATAATTGAAGGATTCAAAAGTAACTTCGAAAGATTGATAGAATAAATTTAATGGAAAGTTCTGTAAGGGTATATTATGCATACAACATCACTTCAATGCAATCATGTACAATTTCTAACAGAAAATAGATCTCCTGCAAGTATGTTAATGACTACCTTTAACCAACAGAATATTACAGTTTCACATCTGATATTTACTTACATATATTTAAGAAGAATGGCAAATCGACAAAATGTTAAGATGGCATACATTTTTAAGTCTAAGTAGAAAGTAAAATAAAAAAATACTGAACTTTAATGGAAATGCAAATCGGAAAGTCCTTTATAAAATGGCAAAATCAAAAGCTCAAACACATTAAACGAATGAAAAACAACTGTCATATTCCTGATTGGTACAGGCATTTCCTCATGTAGAAAACGGTGGATTGAACCTTTTTTTAACTAGCTTATCCTGTATGACAGTTGCATAGAATTCAATTTTATTGACAACAATGAGTGAGCAAAGCAAACAGACATAATAGGTAAAAATGTAAAATAAATGGGGTACAGCAGTTAACATTTTGTTATAATCTTAATAACTATAAAAACAAATAACTATATCAACAAAGAAAAAGAAAATGGCATATAAACACTCTATAGACAAAGTACATAAGCCAAAATGAAAGACAAGAATACAAAAATGACCATAGCACAATAACACAATGACGGGATTTATAATTTTCTGCGTTTCGAAGTATAGAAGAAAATTATTGTACTAACGGTTCTTTCATATATATGTATGGACACGTGATATTAATTGTAGTACATGTATCACGTGAGTGGTCAATTTTCGCGGGTTAATTTCCCAATTAGACCATTCTCTCGCCAACTTCGAACTGGTCAAGATGGACACCGAGTTAGATGATTCAATTAAGGCAGTAATTCTACGCGAGGTGAAAAATGCAGTTTCCTCTTCACAGCAAGATCTTCTAAACAGCAAGTGATGGATGGTAGGCTTACATCTTTCCAATCAAATCTGCAACAGTCACAGCAGGAGATTTCCCAAACTCAGATAGCCAAGCTTGAAGAAACAATGACTTACAATTATAGTTTTCAGCGTAAAGGAAACGAAAACCAGTATCGTCATGAGGTGAAAGTGTTAACCAAGCTGAAGGAAGCTAAAGCGAACCTTGAGGCTCCAGAATTGGGACTTGATTCTGTGCAGATAGCAAAGATGAAGATTATTGAAGGTATTGACTTAGTGCGTGAAAGGCAAAAACTTATAAAACTGGCCGACTCTTCCCAACTTGGATGGAAAGTCGTCAGTGAGTACGTAGCTAATCCTATCGCTGACGACTCAGAAGACGAAAAGAAAATGATGAGGGCTCAGTCTAGAGCAGAAAGAAAGAGTAAGGCAGAAAAAGTAAAGAAAGGCAACCCAAGACCAACACCTTATAGCAGGAACCCAGAGAAAGAAACCAAATCGGTTAAGCCTGGAAGATGTTTCAAGTGTGGAAATAAGGGTCATTGGATAGACGAATGTCCAGATATGAAAAATAAGATAAGTAATTCTTATTCACAAATTTTAGTTTTTGATAACATTAATGTAATACAAGGTCACTTTGTGCCTGTAGCCAATACTTCAAGTAATAATCTTGTTACAGAAGTGAATACTGTTAAAAATACTCAGACGGTTATGTGTATTGATACGAATACAACCGTTCAGCATGAATGCGTCTCGCCAGTTGGTAGACTCAAGGTCAATATAGGTCAATGGAAATTGATTACCGAAAACAAACACATTATTGACGTTATTGAAAACGGTTATAAAATACCATTCAAAACCGAGCCTCAACACGCTGTAATTAAAAACAACAGATCGTCATTAAACAATAAGATATTTGTTCAAGATGAGATCGGCAATCTTTTACAGAAAAAATGTATTTCTGAGGTACAACAGGTTCCACAGGTAGTTAACCCTTTAACGGTCGCATACAACAAATCGAGCAAACCTAGACTTGTACTAGATTGTAGACATATAAACATTCATTTGTTCAAATTCAGATTTAAGTATGAAGATACAAAAATAGCCCGAGAAATGTTTCAGAAAGATGATTTTATGTTTTCTTTTGATCTTAAGTCGGCTTATCATCATATTGAGATTTGTCAAATACATAGAAGTTTTTTAGGATTTTCATGGGATTTTGAAGGCAAAGTTAGATACTTTGTTTTTAATGTACTGCCTTTTGGTATAGCTACGGCTGGGTATATTTTTTCAAAAATACTACGAGAACTGGTCAAACATTTGAGATCTGAAGGCAAAAGGATCATCATGTTTCTGGATGATGGTTTAGGTGGTGATCGAGATTTGAGCTCGTGTCTTAAAACTAGTCAAGAGGTAAAACAAAAATTGGAAGTTCTTGGATTTTTGATTGCACATGAAAAATGCAGCTGGTTCCCATCACAGTATGTGAAATGGTTAGGTTATATTTGGGACACAAAGATAGGAAAAATCTGTGTGAGTGATGAGAGAATTGACAAAGCAGAAAAAGCTGCGAATCGTATTTTAAGCGATATTGGTAAAGGGGTACTTTTGTTCAGTGCTCGAACATTGGCTAGTATTATTGGTCAGCTGATTTCAATGCAAATCGTCTTGGGTGATATTGTAAGACTGAACACAAGATTTTTATATGATTGTGTTCAAGCGCGTGCTAGTTGGAACGCTCCTGTTAGAATAACAGTAGAGGCTATTGATGAGCTTGGTTTTTGGAAAAACTCTTGCAGAACACTTAATCTTGTAGGTGTTGATATTTGTTCGGTTAATTTAACTGACATTTATGATATTGAGTTATTTTGTGATGCCTCAGATGTAGGCTTTGGTGGATATTTCTCCACAGTTTTGGATTTTCAGAGTGAAAATCATGAGATTTATGGAAATTGGTTTGCGGGTGAACAATTTGAAAGTTCTACCTGGCGTGAATTAGAGACGGTAAGAAGAGTTTTGAACACATATGATTCATTCCTTGAAAACAGAACAGTTAAAGTAAATTCTGATAATAAGAATGTGACACATATATTGAATGTTGGTAGCAAAAATTACAAATTACAGAAGGTTGTAACAGATATTCATAAATCTTGCTCGAAGAAGAGTATAGGTTTACAAACCAATTGGGTACCGAGAACTGAGAATAAGCATGCCGATTTTTTAAGTAGACACACTGATCCCGATGATTGGAGTATTGAAAGGAATGTTTTCTATGATCTTAGTTGTAAATTTGGTGATTGGAGTATTGAAAGGAATGTTTTCTATGATCTTAGTTGTAAATTTGGTCCTTTTACTATTGACAGATTTTCTACTCATTACAATGCACAGACCTCTCGTTTTAATTCGAGAATTTGGTGCCCAGGTACTGAGGCAATAAACGCTTTCAGTAAATTTTGGGGAGGTGATACTAATTGGTTAGTGCCACCTCCATCGTTAGTTGCCATGACAATAAACAAGATCATTAAGGACAAGGCCAAATGCATGTTGGTTATTCCAGAATGGAAATCTGCTCCTTATTGGCCACTTTTATATAAAGACGGCGGATTTAGAGATTTTATACAAGAGGTTATTTATTTGCCTAGAGACAACATTATAGTAAGGGGTACCGGAAAAAATGGGATTTTTGGTGAAAATACTCTAAGATTTAGCATGATTGCTTTAGTTATCAAATTTTAATAAGGATTTTTGCGTTTTTAAGGTTTAAAACTGAGACAGAACGTTGAGAATGCCGTTGTGAGCAGTGGTGTTGGAGAAAACAATGTGTTGAGATCTTTGGCAGGAAAGATGGCTTTGTATATAGTTGATTCGAAAAGTGAAAATACGTCAAAGAAGTACTTCGCCGGCTTTAATCGTTGGAAGTCATTCATTACTGAACATGTTTTTTCTGATTTACCAGCCGAACCTGTACATGTAGCGTTATATTTAACATTTCTTATTGATAAACATTCTTCACCAAGTGTATTGCAGTCCGCAATTTATTCTATAAAATGGACTCACGATTTAAACGGTTACATAGACCCTACAAGCAATTCATTCATTACATTTCTGTTAGAATCTTGCAAAAGGCTGAACAGTAAACCAGTCGTGAAAAAAGATCCAGTTGACAACATTATGCTTAGAGAACTATGTACTATATATCAGGATTCTAGTGACTTATTGGTGATTAGGGATTTGGCTATGATACTTATAGCTTATGCAGGTTTTTTACGTTTTGACGAATTAAGTTCATTAACTTGTAAGGACATTAAGATATATGATGAATACATGTCTCTTTTTTTGTCACATAGCAAAACTGATCAATATAGACAAGGCAACGAAATTTTGATTTCTAAAGGGAGTTCTCAAGCATGTCCCCTTTTGATGTATAAGCGTTATTTGGGTTTATCTGGTTTGGACGTTCATTCTGATCATTTTGTTTTCAGACCCATGTTTAGATCGGGTGGTAAAGCTAAGTTAATTTATAAGAATAAGAAACTTAGTATTACAGCGGCCAGGCAAAATATCGTTAAAAGGTTAAAAATGGTTGCTCCTCAGCTTAACTTAGGTTTACACTCATTACGTTCAGGTGGTGCTTCGGCTGCAGCTAAGTCAGATGTTAATGAGAGATGTATAAAGAGGCATGGGCGTTGGAAATCTGATTTAAGTAAAGACGGGTACATTGCAGATTCGTTTGATAATAGAATTTCAGTTTCTAAGAATTTAGGTTTATAGACATAACATTTTTTCGTTTCAGCCCTTTCTTTTAGTTCTCTAGTCTTGTGGGCGATCGGCAATTGTAAAATTGTGTTTGAGATATTTTTGCCATTTATAAGTATAGTGTGTACTTATAATTTTCTGCGTTTCGAAGTATAGAAGAAAATTATTGTACTAACGGTTCTTTCATATATATGTATGGACACGTGATATTAATTGTAGTATCACGTGAGTGGTTAGTTTTTCGCGGGTTAATTTCCCAATTAGACCATTCTCTCGCCAACTTCGAACTGGTCAAGTTCAGATATAATGTTGGTTCATTATTGTTAGATTCTTTCTTATTTTGTACTATATATAGGTATATTGCTTAACAATATACATTTTGTTGTATTTTGTTTATGTAAACATAAGCCAATTTTCAGTACTGTCCAATGTACACCTCTCGAGACGATCTTCCGAGCATTAGGGTTTGGACGCAGGTTTCCATATCGACTAAGGTAACTTGGTTGTTGGTTTTTCCTGGCCGGCGGGTTCGTTTATGACAGAGTAAATTTTTTCAATTCGTATTGAAAGCTTGAATATTGTTTATATGTATATGGATATTATTTGCATAAAATTAGTATGTGTATTAATGATAGATTATAATAAAATCCGGTGTCCTTCTAGTCTTGTGGGCGATCGGCAATTGTAAAATTGTGTTTGAGATATTTTTGCCATATATAAGTATAGTGTGTACGTATAAATACTGAGCCTCGCTAAAAGGATATTACCAAACATGGACTAAATAGTAAAAGGTTAAAAATATGCTAAGACAAATAAAAGGAACGATATAACACGTAATTGATATGATAATAATTAGGTCAGTACCTAGAATCTATACTTCAATACATCACGTATTATTTGTTAAGTTGATACGGAATATTTATCAACATGGTCTTGGTATCTTCCGATGAACATTTTTTAGAAAAAGGACGAAACGTTTTTTGACATTAGCCTGGTTCATCAACTTTCTGCTCAGACACTGAGATTTGATTTTAAAATGTTCCTGTCTTTGATATTTGTTTGTTTCTCTAAACAAAATTGTTGTACATTGTGCTTTTAAAATCTTTAAAGTCTTGTTGTTTCTACCGGTAATAGTACTGTTCCAGGTTAGGGGAGTGTTTGTCGCAAGCAAACATGTTTAACCCCGCCATATTTTGTCTGTGTCTGTCCCAAGTCAAGAACCTGTAATTCAGTAGTTGTTCTTTTGATGCCTTGTATCATATCTATTTTTCGTTTATTGTTTTGTATATAAATCAGGCCGTTAGCTTTTTCTCGTTTAACTATTGTCATCTGTCATTACGGAGCCTTTTATAGCTAACTATGCGGTGTTGGTTTTGCTTATTGTTGAAGGCCGTAATTTGAACTTTTGTTGTTAACTTCTATGTCATTTAGTCTCTGGTGCAGAGTTGTCTCATTGGCAATCATACCAATTCTTCTGATATTTATATTGGCTATCGTTTGTCTTGATAAGTTTTTAAATTTAAAAAAAATCACATTTTGTTCATGTTTTAGGGTTAAATCATTTTGATAATCGATAGTTTTTGGTGATGTCTCATTGCTTAATATAAGTCTATTAACAAACCAATATTGCGGTATGCTAATCACTAAATATTTTATCCACGTATATTATAGGAGTAACACGACGTGGTGCAGACTGTGCCCGCCCTTCCATGGCACCTCTCAATGTTCGTCATGGAGTTGTCATTTTCTCTTCGACTTATGAGTTTTGAATGTTCCCTTTGTATACTCTTTCTCTTTTGTACCAATTTTCGTCGTAGAAAATGTTAAATAAATTAAACCTTGTTCGTGGTATAATATACAAAAACCATGGACTATTATGATTCTTTAAATTTCATTGTAGTGTAGGTGGCTATGTTATAATTTAGATAAAAAACTTCATTTACAGATGCAAATTTGTCATGGTTACAAGTTGCTGCTGATTGGTTGAAAGAATTGGTAAATTCTAATCCTGACCTTCACTATCATTTGGCTTGTGTTAATGGCTTTATGGGAAATTTTGATGAAGCAGAAGATTGCATTAGAATGTTAGTCATATTTTTTTTACATTATGAATTAATAATACAGAATAAAAAGAGCATATTTTATATAAAGCTAAATATTAGTCTAGAAATATTTGTGTAGATATAGAAGGAGATGTATTACATTTCTTGCTGTCAGTCCAGATTTGTTTTTAAAACCACCCTTTATAGGTTTGATGATCAACCAAAATAATTGCTTTTTAGGATTAAGATGATCGTTTATGAGTATCCGAATAAATCATTCGAATGTTTCAGGTGCGGTTTATGATTTCATCTTTTACTCATTTGCAGGAGTGACTTTCGATTGCCATATTGTGATACCATTCCAAATGATATAAAAATTACCACTGCTATGCGATGGGGATGTTTAACTACGTTTAACACAAAAGCAATTCCTCATTTGAATATCATGTGGAGGACACAGTTATGTCATTCTTCATATGTCAGTGAAAGGTAAAATAAACTTGTAATATACTGCTGACACTAGCATTCTAACAATTCGTTTTTTTTCGTGGATTCTGTATTTTACGGTTTGACCCTTTTGATGCAAGCATATCATATAGGAAATATGCATTTTGTGCAACACCATTATTAATGATTCATCTATATCATGGAAATCCACAAAAGTAGTAACCTACAAATAACAATGAATCAACAGTGATAGATTTCTCTAAAGGTAAACAAAAATATGCACCAATTAGATTGCATAGTTTGTTCTTAATCCATAATTTACATGTGCAAAAACGTACACATGTAAAACCTTTAGTTCTACTTAATTATTAATCTGTAAGTATACAACTTTGTAAAATAATTGAGGTTATTATCTGTTTACACATATCTTGTTTTAGGAAAGATAAATCATACGTTGTAAAAATCACTCCGACTAAAACAAAAAACCTAATGGTTTCGTTTGGAGGCGCTGTAAAAAAAAACTAGCATTATCCACTAAAATCACGCTTTGCTATGTAGATGATGTTCTCTCAGTTTTCATTCAATGTTCGGTGACTATGTTTGACGCATCAATCATATTGAATTTCAAAAAAGGGTATGATAGATATAATAAAATCTGCCTCTCACTTGAATTATGAATGTTTATGACAAAAGAAATGAGTTCAGCTTTCTAATAACGCACTTAACATTTCTGTGTAGCAACAATCGAGCAGCGCCTGCATATGGAGTAAAAGTTTCCTATTTGATATAATAATTCAGAGCCTGTCTTTGCTATCATTATTTCCTTGATAGAGGGTTGCTGCTTACAAAGAAGCTATAAAAACAAGAAACCATGAATTGAAGATCTTTCGAAAAACTTTACGGACGTCTCCTGAGTTGGTGGAATCTTATGGAAGATATGTTTCAGATAATAAATAAAATGTTCTGCGGTTGTACCCTCAATCCCGTCCTTTTTTCATCGAATGTGACATCACCGAATTAGACTTATCAAAGATGTTTTTTTTTACCTATTTGAAAAACACAACGGGTGCCACATGTGGATCAAAATCTGCTAACCATTCGTGCGCACCAGAACAACTACTGCTACTGTTTTCTTACTAGGGTTTGAGTTGCTCAAAATGTCGATTTCTTGAATGTATTTTGTAGACTGTTTTTTGTCTTTTTGACGATTTGATTTGTTTGCCAAGGCGTCAGGTTGTCTTCAATTTTTTGAATATTCCTTTGGTATCATCCGCCTCTCTTACAAAATCTAGGGAAATTATTTCGCAACTCATAACCCACCTGCACCAGGAATGCCCAAAGTTAAAACTGAATACACCTAGAAGTTTTAACTAAAGACTATCTGAATATTTATCCATTAGGTCTTGGTACTTTCCGATGAACTTTTTGAGAAAACGGACGAGACGTTCTTTGACAAAACTCTGGCTCATTATTTTTTTGCTCAGACAATGATGACGTTTTACAAAGTCTGAGATTACCATATGAGTTGAGAGATGTATACTCCATACGCGGTTGAAGTTGAAATATTGCTGCTAAGGTCGGGAAAATTTATAATTTCAAAATTGAAACCATTTTTTGTGTCATAAATTCTGAAACTGAGATGAATGCTGTTGTAGAATTCGAGGTAAGTGTCTAGAAATGACGTGGAGGAAACTGTATCAGTAGTTTCTTTAATCTCTAGTTTAGGAGGATATATTAATGGGACCCAGTCAGGAAGTTTTAGATTGTTAATGGAAAGAACATCATAAATATATCAATAAGAAGATGTGGTATGAGTGCCAATGAGACAACTCTCCGTCCAAGTCACAATGTTTAAAAAGTAAACAATTATAGGTCAAGTACCTACATGCGAAACTAATTAATATAGCTTCTTGTTGTAACAAGTGTCTGAAGGAATTCCAACTGATATGAAGAAAAAGAAAAGGTCGCCCACAGTTGGTTTCCATGGGAATGCAGACAAGTATTGAATTTATGATGTATACGTTTTCTGTAAACGTCTTTAAACAATCAAGATAATGTGCTATGAAAAAAACGAAGCTGTAAATACAGCAGTAAAATTCTAAGCGTAACTTGAGCTTCATTATTATTTATTTTTTGCATTTCAGGTATTATTGGATGGATATTGATTTTTGTAACAGAGACTTACATTTACGTTTTAATCCCGAAGGCTGTATCACAGGAGATATGCAAATGTATTTACCACCAATCAGAGCTGTCAGTTTGAATCCATATACTGGGTATAGAATATTTCTTAAAACAGTTTTCCCTCTCTTGCAATGAACTTTGAAGAATTTAATTATAAATCTGCTGATCTAGTGGCGTTTTAGCAAAATAAACAGTTTGACAATCAATATTTGGTATCCTGAATATATGAACTCCCTTCAATTCATTTTCAAGGTTCCAAATTTCAATGAGTTCAAGATTTAGTTTATAAGTTAGGTTCTCAATATCTTTTATTTCTAGGTCAAACAATATCCTCGAACAAGATATTTGTAATTTCGTTGGTCATTATTTTTAATGAAACAAAGCTGAATTGATTTTTTAAATTTGTCTTAAATTCTAGAGTAGGGATAACAGTTTACAAGATGTAGTATAATGATGATATTTTTTTTTTGGAAATGGGTTTGAGGCACATTTTCAAGACCCAGTACAATGACGTTGTTTGTAAGGACATGATATCTAGTACATTGAAGGAAATTCCAGTTCGTCTCATTTGGTTGCAATACTTAACCAACACAGAACAGACCCAGATCTGTTCAGGATTTCATTTTTTATAATTTTCATGCCATTATATATTGGGTTTCCAAAAGGATTTTTAATACCTATCAAGCAGTGTTTGTAATGTGAATTAAACAGAAGCATGATATTTTTTCTGGATTTTTTCTGCAATAGAACAACATATCTGTCGTGTTTTTCAAACTGAGTTGATCTGACCTTTACCTCATACTTAGGTTACGTGATTGACATAAACGTTTTCATATTAAAAGTTTGTTTTTCAGATACTTTAAGACACAGCTCAACCATATATCTGGGGGATATATGATTGTTAGATATATTTGCCCGCGTATCTGAACATGACGTCATTTTCAAAGTTCATTGATTAACATAGTGTGTCTTTGATCATGTTCATTTAACAGATGATTAGTCAACTATATGAGGTTCATGTAATTATTGTAAAAGAGGGACGAAAGACACCAGAGGGACAGTCAAACTCATAGATCGAAAACAAACTGACTACGCCATGGCCAAAACTAAAAAGACAACCAGACACACAACAGTACAGACGACACAACATAGAAAACCAAAGACTAAGCAACACGAACCCCACCAAAAACTGGGGGTGATTTCAGGTGTAAGCTGTACATTTCCGTATGACAACCTTCATCTGACCTTACCTCATTTAATAAGTTTATTGGCAAATTTGAAGTAATAATGATTAGCATCAATTCACAAATATTAAAATCTGTAGGTCAATTTCTTTAGATATATAGTATGCTTGTGAGGGCCAACATTTGCGTTGGGAATCATCTGGTGTCATCTGTTTTAACCTTATTTTCACGGGTCATTGACCAAAGTGTTTTATGAGTAAGTCCATTTTCAAATTGATATTGACACGAGGTCAACTGTATTTATTGTATACAACTATTCTAAGGTACACATTTCCGTCTATGACGTGCAAATAATTTGTATGTTTCATTGACATACGCGCAGTTTTCGTAATACTTCCGTTTTTCGGATATTATAATATAAGGGGCCTCGGGGCTAGTTACTACTGTAATCACTAGCCAGTCAACACTGAGTTTGTGAGTTCGAACCCCGCTCGTGCGGGTGCACTCGACTCCAATCTTAATTGACTAGGATTGTCAGTTTTCCTATCGAAGGTCGGTGGTTTTCTCCGGACACTCCGGCTTCACCAATAAAAACTGCCCTCCACGAAATAGCCCAAAAGCGGTGCTGAAAAGTGGCGTTAAACACCAAAAATCAAATCAAATCAAATCGGATATTATAAATAGTAGGGTAACTAATAAGCAGTATATATTCATATGAAAGGAACCAACTAAACTAAACTTAATCTCCGTGGACCATTTATAATGTTAAATGTATGTTACAGCTAAAGTTAGACCTTGATCTTATAAACATTCAACATGTAGATCAATCGTGGTTAGTAAAGGAGTCGAGACATTTTAATATGTGCCCTCTTTAAATATTACAGTGAAAGCAATAATAGACAGAGATGACTGTAAAAAGTAAAATGGATTAACAAGCCAAATGAGAGCTACCAATCATAATGTTGGTTGTTAATAGTGTGCTAAATAAACTCATCATAGATACCAGGACTGAAATTTGGCGTCTCCGCATGACAATAACTGCGTATATGGCTAAGACATGGGTCTCTTGATTTGGGAGGGTGTACTAAGACAATTTGATACACAATTTTTAAAGCTATTGTTTTTAATTGAATATCAATTTTGCATATTTTGGAAGGTGGGTGTAAATTTTCTAGTACCTTGAAGTTTATACTGTAATACATAACATTTGGATTTTATTGTAAGCTCTACCTACCTTTTTCATGTCCAAATTTAAGTAAAACATGTAAAAAGTATGAAAAAATTGTAGAAACATTACTTACTCCTTCAATATCCACAATATATATATTTCAACTGCTGTAACTTTAGTTTTTTATTAAATGTAACCGAATTAAATATACTGCACGTTACCCTTCATTTATTTGCAACTGAAATGAAATGACATGTGTTATATTTAAATACATTTTAGGTGCTTAACTTTTAACAGCATTCCAGGAAAAACAGAGAGTTGGATATGCTATCAAGGTACATTTTCACGAAATTCTTAAATGTTCTGCAATTGATAAGTTAATATTTAAGCAAAGATAACCAAGAATAAATTTAATTGCATTAAAACAATAATATAGTAGACATTTACTTGATCTTTCTAAAACGCATAGAATTAAAGATACGCATATTAATTAATGTAAAGCTGGAGACGATTTCCTTATGATTGTTCAGATGGATATAACAAGATTATATTTGTTTGAAATGACTATTTGATTAGACATTATCCCTTATTTCGATGAGTGAATTCCAAGGCTAACCTGGCTGTAACTAACAGAAGCTGCCATCCTCAATTCTGAAATTTATATGTTTGCCTGATCTGAACTTCTGAGTTTACATGAATTGTCATTGATATGGTCATACATTATCTGTTAATTAAACTTTGTTTTTTTCGATATACTAAAGATTTTCTACCCAAGAAATAGATTACCTCAGCTGTACTTGAAAAAAAAACCTTTCGGAAAGTTGGGTCTTCAATGCTCTTCATCTTCATACTTTTTTTGTTTTTTCATCTTCTTTGATTCGAGCGGGACTTATGAGTTTTTTGAAGACGAAATACTTTTAATCCTATTATCTATGATAAGTGTACTTAAACAATGAACCATCAAATAACATTTCTCAACTGAAAATCATATTTATGTGAAATTCTAAAATAATACACGTTTAACGTTAACATTGACGTATGAAGTGTATGGTTGAGCGTTCGAATGTTACATTAAGAAGCCAGAAAGTGGAATATATTTTCAAAAACTTTCTTCAATTTTTACACCTTGATAATGACTGAAACGGAAAGTTTTGCCTAGTTTGCATTAGAATGGAATAAACTGCTTTATACATGAATTTTATACTGCATTAAACTTGGATGTCATGTCGCGCACTTCCGTTTACACAGCTTCGCTTCGCGTCTCTTCATAGGCATACATTTCAATGTGCAATCTACGTTTTACGTAGGCAAATGTTTAAATAATCACAATTTGTAACTTATAACTTTGGTGAGTTTGAAGTCGTTCTCATGATTACCTTAATCAGATCCGCTATAATAAACGAAAAATAATTTTGAAAGTCACAAATGAAATATCCTGGGTAAGTAATTTTGTAACACATTTCTAGAGAGAGCATTTTGTGTAATTAACTTTTTTTTCTAGTGTTAAACTATCTTGTATAATTCAAACGGGAAACTTACGGTCTGATTAATGTTAATTACTATAAACGATTATCAAATATGATAAATAGCAACAAACGATAAGCCTTGTATCTTTGATGAGATTTTAAAAACACTGGATCGACGCATTGCTGTTTGACGATTCGTCTCTCGGAGAATAACAAGCCCAGTAGTCAACACTTTTATGCTGATATAAAATCAAAAATGTGGGCATTTGTTGTAAAGTTAATTTTTATATAAAGTTGAAATATTCAAAACACTTAGGTTTTCATAACCCAAGGTATAGATCGTCTTAACCGTATTTGGAGTAATTTTTCGCGGAATTTTTGGTTGTTAAATCTCTTTAATTTTGTATTTGATTTGGCTTTCAAACTGTTGAGTGACACTTATAAGTTTCATGTAGACGAAACGTGTGTCTTGCGAACTAAATAATTAGCCTGATATCATTGATGAGGTTTTACTTTTTTCAGATGGCTTTTATATTCCGACACTATGCGAACTATACAGAGATAAAGATGGCATTACAGTCAATATGAAACATCAAAGTTTAAAATGTTTTGAGAGTTACTACCGCAAGAATACTAACAAATTTAGAGCTACCCATTCTATGGTTCTGAATTGGAGGAACAGTGAAGGACTTACAGAGAAATTCAACTTATTTTGGAAGATTCAAGATGTTTTGTACAAGGTTTGCTAAAACACTTTCAGTAATATTGCAATATATTATATCTGAAGACTTCTGCTATAGATTTCTATTGCACGAATAAACGCGAAATGTAGGTAGAATATAACACCAGCATATTAAGCTATAACAGAAGATAATCATCACAAGGGTTGAGGCTTTGATTTTGTTAAATTTTCATGTCAGCAATGCATAGAGCCGCAAGATTTATAGTGTTTCTGTCAAGGAATCTTTTCATGTGTTCATTCCAATAAATTAGAAGTTAAAGATAAGTTAAAGGAAGTTTGATGTCAAATACATGTGATATCTGAATGAATGTTCACCACAAAGTACAAATGTCCATAACTTTAAACTTGTCTTTAATCTGGTGATATTAGCCTACAGCTGTAAATGCCAATGCATCGATCTTAAATTAAGACATTTTCGTCATCATTATGAACTTAAGATTTTTCAAGTCGTATTGGTTTGCAGAATAGTATACAAACTCATTAAACGGTTGAACATATGTCATTTAAATCATTTTACTGCAAATTGCATTAGGGGTCCCTAGCATTTAAACTGGCCTAGTAAAAGTTTCCAGAGATTACTGATATGGTAACTTGGCCCTCTACCAAACCACTTTAGATACATGAACAAATCAATTTTTCCGTTTGTGAATTTTTTGGCACCAGTGTACTCATCAATAATCTTTTGAAAAAATGCGTTTAGTTCACAGAAACATAACAATATGATATTCTGCATTTAAGAAAACAAGAAGTGTTATTATGATTTTATATAACGGATGAATGGAAAGTTGCAGACCCTAACAGTTTCACAAATACTGAATTATTCATCCCTTTCAAAATTGTTTTACTTTCATAGATAAATAAATTAATGTTTTATTTTGATACTATACATCTCTGTTGGGACTATTTTTTTAATATTTTTTAATTTTCAGGAAACAAAAACTGAAATTTTGCAGAAAGTTATTCCAGACAAGGATAATCAACAACAGTTTAAACAAGATGCTCTACGATACCTTAATTTTGCCTATAAACATGGATGTTCTATTACGATCGATGTATGTTAAGTAGACTTGAAAATGTAACACACTATGGTGTCTGTTATACTTAATGAATTTCTGTAAATAAAAAATTGGACAAAATCTGCATATAAGCCTACGGGAAATTTGTTTTTGTCTAATATTTAAAATTGTGTGGGAATTTTATCCATGAAATTCGCACTAAGTCCCAAATGTATAATAATGAATTCAAAGTCTACAAAATAAGCTTATCTCTCATTTCTGCATGTCATTCTGGTGAAGTTCACAAAATAATGCTGAAAAAGATGATTAAACATTACGTACCACACCAAAATGTACTAACATATTTGGTGCAGGACAGCTAAAATTAAAAAAAAGTCGTATTTGGTGACAAAGCATATACACTTTGATTTATTAGTAAGACTTGATTCTGTCAACATCATATAAAATGTTCGAACTTGCATTGAACTTTGGTAGTTCCTGACAAATAAGATTTTATCAGATTTAATTCATATTGAAATGAAATAGTCAACATCATTGATTTTATACCCTAGAGATCATTTAATGCATGTTGTGGTTAATGTCCTCTGCGTGCAGAACATTTTCCACCTTCCTGTTTGGTATATTAGTACTACATAACAACAATGACATAGGTTTAATTTGGTAGCATTACGCAATACAAGTATAGTCCTGATGATTGTCATATAGGTGGGAACAGAACATGTTCTGTGCCTAGCTATAATTAAATCAATTCCTTATAACTGTTTTGACACATTCAATATAACCCCCTCCATAAGAAAACGAAGTTTCCGTTGTGTTTTAAGGCAACACCCTATCCCACCGTCTCTAACTGTGCTCTGTACGCGCAACACTTCCTTACGACAAGATTGATATTGTTGAAGCGTTAGACAGTTACAGAACATAGCAACAAGACCTTTATAAAGAAAAGTAATCGTAGCCTAATATTTTAATGTGTAGATAATCGACTTGCGGCCAGTTCTTAGGCAAGTAAAAAAATTACAAATATAAACTTTAAGCCAATCGATTTTCCATTTTTAGTTCAAACAGCTTATAGCACATGTGACCTATTACAAACACTTGGCGTCGATCATTTTTGTATTTCGCGGTAAGCTCACTCATCGGCGTAATATTTTCTTAAAAATCGTGTCCTCTGAAACATCTGGATTCATTTGAACCAAATTTTTGCTGAACGATTCTGAGAATATCTTGAAAGGGTGTAATATATTCCTGCACACTAAACAACATGGAAGCCATCATTTAAAAAAATTATCATAATGGTTCAATGCAAGATCTACTATAATTTCTAAAATAATCATTAAAGAAAGAGAAAACTGACGGAATACAAATCCTCAAAAATTGACAAAATCTCTCTGCCACAAATAAAGACCAAAAAAGTGAGACAAACTTGACTGATATTGATATTAATATTGATATTTTGATAAAAGACTTTTCACAGAATTTTTACTGTGCTTATTCAGTAGGCTTTGGGGTATCTCAATAGCAATGGCTAAAATAGTTTACCAAATTGCAGTTTGAATTCTTCTCCAACAAACTGGTCAACTGGTAAACTATTTTAACAAATTGCTTGAAAGGATGTTAGTATGAAGTGAGTGCAGTGAAATAAAAAGTAATACTTACCATCCAGCTCCAGTTAGTTAATGTCTATGTCATAAATTTCAAACAAAATACTGACTTACTATAATATGAGTCACTGGTTTAAAAAGGTCTAACTTTGACATACAAACTTCTATCCTAAATAAATTGTATAAATAAATAGTTCAAAACATTGTTTTGTAGGTCAATAATTTATAGCTTTGTTTCCCTATAAGAAGTTATTGTGTAATTGTGATTTGGATAATATTTTCTATAAGAATTACTGATCTGCTGGCATTAAAGGCAAAAATTTTATTGAGTCATTGTATATTAAAAATGTAATCAAAGATACCAGACTTATGATTTTGCCTACAAAAGATTCATCAATACGACTGAAATAAAAAAAATTGAAAGGCCGATTTAGTACGAAGTTAAAGAGCATTGAGGACACAAAATTCCGAAAAGTATGTTTACTGTTCCGCAAACCGAGTACTGCTTATAAGTAATCTAATACTCGGTGATAGAAAATCATTAGTACTTTGAACAATTCAAAGTTTTGCAAGACAGTTAATCTATAATTTTGAACATATCAATGAAAGTTCATGTCAACACAGAATTGCTGACTACTGAGCTGGTGATACCTTCTTAATTTACAGAGGAATCTATATGATTTATAGAACTTTGAATGTGTTTCATAATATGTTTTTAACAGTTTTTTGTTCAAAATTTTAATCATCATAAAAATAAATTTCAGTGTTCTTTTCAGAACAGGGGATAATAGTTAAATAATCTTTGAAGTAATGTTACAAACAAATTACTTATAAAATGAAGGAAGTTCATATTTGACAACATAAAGATTAGTAATTGCTTTAGAAAAAATATCCAAATTACAATTACGCTCTAACTTGCTGTTAGGAAACAGAGCTATAAATTATTGACCTACAAAACAATGTTTTGAACTATTCATTTATAAAATGTATTTAGGATAGAAGTTTTCATGTCTAAGTTAGACCTTCTTAAATCAGTGACTCATATTATAGTAAGTCGTTATTGTGTTTGAAATTCAGGACATAGACATCAACTAACTAGAGCTGGATGGTAAGTATTACTTTTTATTTCACTGCACTCACTAAATACTAACAACCTTCACTGAAGCAATTTGTTAAAATATTTTACCATTTGATCAGTTTTTTGGAGAAGAATTCAAACTGCAATTTGGTAAACTGTTTTAGCCATTGCTATTGAGATACCCCAAAACCCACTAAATAAGGACAGTAACAATACTTGCCTTTTCGGCAGCGAACGGAATATATAATATGTCTGAAAAATTACTAGGTCTAAAAATTCCAAAATCTCCCAGTGGAACATTTCGGCTCTCGTGATAAATTGCTTTCTATGGTTGCAATAAAAACTTCATAAATACAAACTTGAATATATTATAGCGTACTTACGAAATACAAAACTGAAAAAGAAACAACAACAAATATACGGCTTAAATTGTAATCTGTGTCTGTATGAAATAGCTAAAATAGCCGTATGGGTAAAGTCGTGTCTCAACAGGGATATTACCTTTTATATAATATAACGTCTGATATAATTGTTCTGTAAAATAATTTTTATTTTATAGGACTAGGTATTTTGTTACATCTATGCTACTAAGATAACGAAGACCAATTTGTAAGCCGGCATGACCCAAAAAAAAAAAGGAATAAAAAAATTCAACCTAATATATAACTAATATAGGACAATGGTGTTGATTAAAAATTACATCATTCCAGGCCCTTGTGTTTTCATATAATTAATATTACCAATAGTTAACAAGTTTCGGGTCGAATCCGATACCGATACTTATAGTATATGTCACATGTAGTTACCGGTTGTAGTTCTTCCTTTATTCTTCCCTCCACTATCTGGATTACCACTACTATATTGTATTGGATTTTAAAAGCAGAGAAAACGTTGCACCATATAATTAGCATCACTTTATCAAATGACAATACGAATATTGAAAATCCAGGCTAAATTAAGGGTAATTTATTTTAGTCACGGACCCGCGATGTCGCGGGCGTGTTCTAGTTTGATTAAAAAAGAAAGCAATATAAGATCATGTAAATCTGTTTGTATATTTTCAGGAGTGTATGCAAGCAGCCGCTTTTCGCAGAGGTAAAGATGGAAATCTTGCTAAAAATCCCCAGGAATATTATCAAATGACATCAAGTTTTCAACCAAAATGTCAAATATATATATATGGACAACCAGTTATTTATGGAAAATGTCTACTGTTTCTTGTTAGCTATGGCAAGGATAATAGAAACAGAATAAGAGTGGTATGTGTTACATGTATGTTTTGTGTTTTTAAATTCAATTAACAGTACAATACATTTTTTGAATGATTCAAATGTGTTTTTTTCCTTTTAAATTGCCAAGGATTGTGTCATATGTCTTGTCGAAGGTGGATGGTTCTCTTTGGGCATTTAGACTTTACCCCTTGATATAGTAATACAAACTTGAATAAGTGGATTTGTTTTAGACATTTTTTTTTAATATCGATTTGCATGAGTTTAAAGTCTGGGATTTTGATTTTTTACAATTCCTTCTTACATTTTTGACTTTAGACACTTCTTCTTAAAATGTCATGTACCAAGTCAGGAATATTGCAGTTTTAATCACACAGTCCGTTTCTATATATGTTTGCGTTTGATTTTGTTGTATTTCAGTGGTTCTATTGTTCCGTTGTTTTCCTCTTATAGTTGATGTGTTTCCCTTGGTTTTAGTTTGTTACCCGGATTTGTTTTTGCTTAATCGAATTATGACTATTGAACAGCGGTATACTTCAGTTGCCTTTATTCATAAGCCTTTTAAATTGATTTTTATACTTAAACCCTCATTTGAACTATCTTCCGCTGCAATGATAATATTTTTTTCTGGCTCAACCAAAAACTAGTTAAAGTTAATTCCTTGATTTGTAGGCCCATTTTAAACAGTTGTCATTTTATCCCCTCCAAAATGCAAAACGTTCACGCAATTTCATCTCTAAACATGTAAATAGGTAGAACAATTATTCACTTAATTCCAAACGTTAAATTTCAGTTTGTCTGCTGTTTGATTTTGAAGGACACCATTTTCTCATTTCATTTTTGATTTGTATTTCTTAAATGTCTTAAATGCTTTCATTTTAAAATGAATATATAGCTCTATTCATTTAATGGGAAATAGTTTTAACGATTCCAAAACCGATTATGGCAAAGTTTCTGCAATAATTGACTCACAAATTTATATAAAAGTCCTTCTTAATCTCAACTGAAACATTCGCTTTTTTTTATTATTATCAATTTGTTTTCACTTGCTATTATTTACCGCCAAATCCACATATGACATGTTATAACTAAGGCATAAGTTACCATGTCCACCTTCTAAAAATCCACAAATATCTATCAATGTAATAGAATCAAAAGGAAAAAACATACCTACGTCATAAACTCTAACTTAATAAGATAGTTTTCGACCTTGAAATGTACAAGTAACGGTATATCTTCAGCTTCAAAGTTTGCATTCGACTGAAGTCATGTTGTGTAATGACGTTAATGCGACAAAATCATTCATGACATTTTGCAGAATTTTATTTTATTCTAATTTTATATTGTTTGTCAGTCTCTATTGCATACTGTTATAGGTCATGCATTATAACAGGAATAACAGATTTGTAGTTTTGTCTTCGATTTCAATTTTTCTTTGACACAATTGATCCCATGGATGAATAGATCAAAGTGAAATCGACATAGTGTTTTCGTAAAGATAGTAGTTGGTGCAACATGAAAACATTCTAACGGACAAATCCCATTCAAGTGTTTGTAGATATGCAAATCATATAAGAATTGTCATAAAATAATATTAAAATCTGGAAGGAATTTTGTTCTCTCTATCACTCCTTTTTTACTGATCGAACAGAAAACACTTGTGTTCAAATACTAGTAGGTTTTGCTTTGAGACAAATTTTGAAAGTTTCTATATGATGTAATAAAAATACTAAGCCCGGTATCATCTCTCTCTTTATTTCAGAAGATTCTGTGGCTTTTTATATTATCTACAATAAACAAGATCAATCATGAATGACAAGAATATGTGGTTTTCTAGATGTACATTAAAAAAGGTGTAGCTAGATAATAATTCTTTTTCTCAACATAATCAATAACATTATAATCCATGTACAATTTTTTAAATTTAAACGAATACAACATGTATATAAAAATATTTTTTTTTTAATGATAATATAGATGAAAGTGGTCAAATTTCAGACACATTCAAACTTTCTACATTGAAAAATAAGCAATATTGCTTCAGGCAGATATATTGTACAAAAAGCAATTATACTATTTAAATTGGCTTACTATAATAAGTAATATGTCTAGAAATTCCAGTTAAAACCAATGTTAACATTCATGAAACTATGAATGCTCTAAAATAGTGTTTACGAAAGAAATCAATTTCAGAACGATTACTAGAGAAATTAATAATAATATAATAAATGAAAACTAACCAGATAAACCAATAAGAGTTATAACTTGGGAAACATTTTTATTTTATTTTAGTTTTTATAACCTACGTGATAAGAAACTGTTGAGGTGGAAATTAAGTCATGCAATGATTAATTAATTTGATGGAAATTACTTTCAAATAATGAATGTCATCAGTGTTCAATCAAAACAGACTATGAACACCTTATTTCTGTCTTGCCACTACAATAAACATCATAGCAAAACTATTATATTATACCTACTTAATTCCTCAAGATTTAATAAAACAGTGGAAAATCTAGTAGGATATAAAATAAACGAAATTAACTACATCATACCACATCTCCTGATTTTTATACTTATCGACTGTAATATTTTTTGTGAAATTCTGTTGCCCAGTTTTTAGTTTTCTTTTGTTTTGTTGTGTGTTGTAGATTGCTGTTCGTCTTTTTGTCATTTTTATACGACTGCAAAAAAATTGCGTTCGTATATTGCTATCATGTCGTCGTCGGCGTCCGAAGACACATTTGATTTCCGGACAATAACTTTAGTTTAAGTAAATGGATCTCTATAAAATTTAACCAGAAGGTTCAATATCACAAAAGGAAGGTTTGGATTGATTATGGGGGTAATGGTACCAACAGTTTAGGAATTAGGGGTCAAAAGGTTGGCCAAACAAGCATTTTGTAGTTTCCGGACACTAGCTTGTGTGTAAGTGTATGGATCTCTCTGAAATTGTACTACAAGGTTTCATATCACAACGGGAAGACTGGGATTGAGTTTGGCGGTAATTGCCCAAAACGTTTAGAAATTAGGGGCAAAAAAAGGGGTAAAAAACAAGCATTTTTCTATTTTCAAGACAATAACTTGTGTTAAAGTTTATGGAACTCTCTGTAATAGTACATTTTTCCTGAAAAGGAAATAATCTTAAAAAATTTCGAAAAAAATTTGGGGGGAATTTTTTTTGGGGGTTCATATTTTTTTCTTCAAAAGTTTTGAAATTTCAAATTTTTTACAAATTTTTTTTGGGGGTGGGATTTTTTTTCAGTTTTTTGGGGGGGAGGTTCATACTTTTTTTCTTCAAGTTATAAAAAAGATTTGGAGGGACACATTTTTTGGCGGGATTTTTTTTTGTATGTGACACAGCAACAAACGACAACCACTGAATTACAGGCTCCTGACTTGGAAAAGGCACATACATATAAAATGTGGCGGGGTTAAACATGTTAGCGAGATCCCAACCCTCCCAAAAATGCTCTTTTGTATCATCACCAATAGATGAATGTACAAAACTCGTGGTTTCCCAAAAAGTCACTTAAATATACACAGACGAACATCCAATTTTATAGACGACTGAAAATTGACTTATTACATTTCATCTATTGACAAAAAACAATAAATTATGAAAGTTCTCCCAAATAAGATTGCAGCCTTTGACCTATCTTGTAGGGTTACAATTTGAATTCTAACTGTTTGACACACTACTTTTTGTTTTCATCAATATAAAAACCAAAAATACACAAACGGCGCAGTTGAAAAATCCAGAGAAATATGAAAATAATGTGATGTGGTATGATTGTCAATGAGACAACTATCCATCAGAGTTCAATTAAAGTGAATTTAAGCATATTTAGGCAACCGTACGACATTCCTAAATGAGAAAAAAAAACGTCCCGTATAGTCGCCTTTAAACGGCATGAAATATGTAAAACAAATCAAACGAAAAATTCAAAGCCTTAATAAATAACAAAAATATTTACGAAGACAGACAGGCACCAACGACAACAACTTAACTACAGGCTTCTGACTTTGGATAGGGACATTAAGAATGAAGTCTAAATTTATCGAAAAACTGAGCATTCCCTACCTCTGGAACGTATTATCTTAGTTTAGGATCCTCAGTGCTCTTCAACTTCGTACTTTTTTTAATCTGAATAACTTTTGAACATTGATGAATCTTTTGAAGTGTTTGCCATTACGTCGTCTGATCTTTCAAGTACCGAACGTGACTTATTCCCGATTGTGACTGTTTTGCTGAGTGTGAATTCGCATTGCTATAAGACGTATCACGGTATTTTTCTATCCAATATTCATGTATTTAGTTTTAATGTTATATTTGTTATTCTCATCGGATTTTGTCAAATGTCTTTTCGTTTGTAGTTGTAAATCTTATTTTTTCTGTTCTATTCGTGTGTTACGGTAAAGATAATTAATCACCCAGTTCATTTATATAATTTTATATTAATAAGTATTGTAATTGTCATTGTTATTAATACATGTTATATCAGTATTACAAATCTAATCTTGAACTCTAGTCTATTTTTTGGAAATTTATAGAAATTTAAATGTGACGTCACTTTGTGCGTCGATCTCTTCGGCTATTATGTAATACGTTGTTCAGCTGGGCCTTTTTTATGTGCTGATTTAGGTTGTTTTACGTCTTCGTTTTTATTCTGTAGTTAGTCACCACTTCGGTGTTAACATGTATATCTATTATATAGTCATTTTTATAAATTTACGAATTATTCTAAATACTAAGGATTTTCTTATCCCAGGCATATAACCTTGGCCGTATTTGGCACAACTTTTTGGAACTTATGGTCCTCAATGCTCTTCAACTTTGTACTTGTTTTGACTTTCGAACTTTTTTGATTTGAGCGTCACTGATGGGTCTTATGTAGACGAAACGCGCGTCTGGCGTATTTAAAAATCCTAAGCCTGGTACCTTTTGATAGCTATTATTTGTGTGTATCTCTGTCCTGTATGTTCTCCCATTTATTTGTATTGTAGTCCTGTCATGTAATGTTGTCATTTTAATGTTATATTTAACATTGCCATAAAAGCGGGAGGTTTGGCTAGCAACAAAACCAGGTTCAACCCACTATCTTTTTATTAAAATGTCCTGTACCAAGTAAGGAAAATTGCCATTGTTATATTATATTTCGTTTCTGTGTGTGTTACATTTGAGTGTTGTGTTTCTGTTGTGTCGTTGTTCTCCTCTTATATTCTATGTGTTTCCTTCAGTTTTAGTTTGTAACCCGGATTTGTTTTTTTCTCAATCGATTTATGAATTTCGAATAGCGGTATACTATTGTTGCCTTTATTGAAGACGAAACGTGCGTCTGGCGTCCAAACTATTCACCCTGGTATTTATGATGTTTTTTTAGATGATTTAATGGAACAAAATTGTTCTTGTAAACACGCATTACTAAACTAAATACAGGTTTTATACGTGTCACTTTTCAGATTATTAGATGTGCTGACAGAGAAAATTTTAAAAGTCCAATTATACATAAACTACATCTAGGAACAGTTAGTATCAGCGAATCATACAAAACTGTTGGAGCAAAGTTAGCCTGGTGTGCAGCACATGGGTAGGTATCAAATGGCAAAACATATTGATATTGTATTTTGCAAATTTCTTTTCTGAATAATTAGCTGCAAACAAAATCTTAACTAAATATAGAAATGTTAACAAAATAGAAAACGATTTTAAATATAATTTCATATAACTTAAGCTGTCCCATGGTATCATGTTGTCCTCTGTCCGTTCACATTTTCTATTCTTTTGTTTTAAACCACTTAACACAAAACAAAACCATTTCAACAATCTTTCAAAACATGGAAGCCTAAGCATATATTCTAATATCTGATTGGCTTGACATATTCAAGAAATATTGAATTAATTGAATGCAGGCCAGATGGTTATCTCCCTTCGTAAGGTTTCTACAATTGTTAGTATGTTGGTACGTAGGTTCACAAACATATATAAAATAAGAAGATGTGGTATGATTGCCAATGAGACAACTCTCCACCTGGGACCAAATGACATACAAGTACGTCTAACAATTAGCAATTCCATGCCGCATAGTCCGCTATAAAAGGCCCCGAAAGGACAAATGTAAAACAATTCAACGAGAAAACTAACGGCCTGAATTATGAAGCAAACAATGAACGAAAAACAAATATGATATACAGCAACAAACGATAACCCCTGAATTAAAAGCTCCTGACTTTGGACAGGCACATACAGAATTTGGCGGGGTTAAACTAGTTTGTTAGCGCCAAAAACTCCCTCCCTCTAATCTAGGACAGTGTTGTAACAGTACAACGTAAGAACAAACTATAAAAATCAGTTGAAAAGGACTTGCCTCATCAGAACAATGCAAAGCAGAAAATCCTCTAACAAAAACACAGACTCGACGTGGCAGGGTATTTATACATCCTCACAACAACAACAAAAAAAAAAAAAAAAAAAAAAAAAAAAAAAAAAAAAAAAAAAAACCACTAAGTATAGATCTGAGAGTTCAGAGCCAAAACAAGTAATTAAAAAAACCATGCATCTCAGACTAAAATATTAATCAGTACACATCCAACATTCAATTGATTTTGTGTAAAGATGTCACAAACAGTCAGAGAAAACCATGACCTTGTGCAATGTCTGATAATGGTATCGACCGAATGAAGAGCCATGAATGTGCATATGTGTATAAAAATTATATTTAGTTTGATTTTAATTTACTGATAACAAAATTAATATCTATTATATCAATAAAACAATTTTTAAAAATTAAATTACAGGGTTGAATTGGTAACCTTTTAGGATAAATTCATTTAAAGGATCGACAAGTTTATCCGGATCATATCTAAATTTCCGATTTCGGTAAACAACATCACCGTACAAATTGATATGTGATATCCCGTTTGAAAAAAAGTTTCTACAGGTACTGCCAAAATTCCAAACCGAATCTTTGTATCTATGGAAGAATTTAGTAAAGGTTTTAAGTTATTTGTGGTAACGAAATCCCTGAATTAATAATTTACCAGTAATACATAGACTACGTTTATAAAAATCCAAAATGTTACAACAGACACGGGCATAGCTAACAAGTTGTTATATATAAACAGCGTAAGGTGGTGCCAAAGGAACATCACCGTCCAAAAAAAGGAAAATTAACAAAAGGGAACGAAAAATCGTCCTTTTTGTCGCAAAATTTTGTGTAGAGGTTCCCGTGGAAATATCTATATCTAGGAAAAGACAGTATATGTCCAATTTTCTTTGAAATTCAAAGTTGATAGGAAATTCGAATTTGAGTTTTTTTCTAGAACAGGTTAAAGGTAAAATAGCAAACTCCAAGGAAAATTCAAAATGGAAAGTCCCTTATCAAATGGCAAAATCAAAAGCCCACACACATCAAACGAATAGATAACACATGTCATATTCCAGTCTTGGTACAGGCCATTCCTCATGTAGAAAATGGTAGGTTAAACCTGGTTTTATAGGTAAAGTGAAATGAAACACAAAAATAAGAAATGCTTCTTTAATGGGTTCTACCTGTTGATTTGATATTGAAGATAAATGGTTAACATATTATATTAGCGGCAGAGGTTTTAACTTTAGGATTGAGTTTATTTTAATCTGAAGGTTAATCTTCTTTTGCACTTTGATATGAAGTCGAGGTAGTTTCATTTGTTACCTTTGTCCATTTGTTTCCTCTGAAGTATATTTTCTCATCTTCTAGTAATTGATAGTTTCTAATCGAACTATTCAATATCCAGGTAGCCTCATGTTTTGGTTTAGGAAGTTAATGTTTTGTGAAGACACTAATGAACTTTTAATTAGTTTTATTCCTATTGCAGACAGACAGGTAAAATCATTTTATTAAACCAGTATGGGGAGATACATGAGCAATTTCCCTTTAGAAGCATTATAGCAAAGAAACAGTCTCAGAAGGTAGACAGCTTTTGTATCATGGGAGAAAACTTATATTGACAAGGATGACAGGTAAATAAAAGTTGTTCCATGTTATGAAATTTAAGCTAGACAGGTGATAGATATATTATTATAATATCACAGAAAGCTGTTACTTTGTACTTTGTCAGTTTTAATAGCTTCGAATGTTTGGCCAATCTCTGCGTACGTTATGTCTTTTTAGGTAGAATTAACGTGACCAATTTTGGTATCTTATTAGGACCCCAGTTAAACATAACGGTGCATGTGCAAATTATGTTTATAATAAATAAATGGACCGGATCAATTGATATAGCAGACGAACAATATTTATCAAAATGATGCTTATTTATATTAACTAACAATAACACAAAACTGTTTTGCATGAATATTCAAATATCAACAAATTCATAGCCTTCACGTCAGAGTAAATGCTATCCACCAATTTATGTATTTTTTCCCAGAAACTTAATCTTTCTGTTGTACTCTGTATGTGGTACTGTGTCGTAAATACCGCACACATGACGTTTACTATGTACTGCGCTTTATGTATCGTCACATCACCTTGACGTGTTACCGGGGCTTTCTAATACATCTATCAAATAGTCAAGACGTCTTTTATTTCTATCAATCACTTCATGATATTATGGTGCCGTAACCAAAATATGGATACAGAGTTTAAAACCATTCGTTCCGGACACAAAGGAGCAATTACAAGACTTTGGAAGAATTTTGGAGACATAAGAGATAGTTCCGATATAGAAATTGAGGAAGTCAAAGCTATTTTAGATTTCGTGTTACAGAAAAAGAACATTCTAAAAGATCGAAATGATAAAATTGTGGAAGTTAGCTCGGATGAAGACGTGGTGAATGAAATTCAGCAAACAGATGAGTACATGTTCGATTTAGATTCAAAAATCCGTCAAATTAGAAAACTCATTCAACCCTCACAGTCAACAAGTCATAATTTACCCGTCAATACTGCCGTTTGTCAAGCTAGTAATGTTACTCCCTCTGATACACCCATGCATACCATGGTTTCACCTACATTCAATAGTGCACCCACAAGCGACACCTCTCAACTGAACCCGTACACTAATTGTTTCACGTCGACATCTCATGTACAATCAAATGCAGCATCGTTTTATACTAGTAATCCCGTTATATCAGAGATTGTTCCTACTACAAACCCGTCTATGCAGATTCCAAGTTTACATTCGTCTTCTAGCGCAAATAATTAGTACCATAAATTACCAAAGTTGAACTTACCTACTTTTGAAGGGAATATTTTAGATTGGCAATCCTTTTGGGATTCATATGAATCATCTATTCACACAAATCCTACACTCAGCGACGTACAAAAGTTTAACTACTTAAAGTCACGCTTACAGGGAGAAGCATTGCAGACCATATCAGGTTTTTCTATGACAAACACTAACTACGGCAAAGCTATTTCCTTATTACAAGAGAGGTATGGACATATACATACTATAATACAAACATACATGCAAGCTCTACTTGATATTTCGCCGCCGATTTATACTTTAATTAGCCTCCGCAATTATTATGACAAAACTGAAACTTACGTACGAGGTCTAGAGTCACTCGGACAGACTGATGACACTAATGGTTACTTCTTGTACCAGTTATTCTGAACAAGTTGCCCACAGAAATACGCCAAAACTAAGCTAGAGAACATAGGTCAACAAACTGGAACTTAAATAAATTACGCAAAGCAATTTTAGACGAGTTAATTATCATGGAAGCTGGAAAATTACCTCAAAAAGTAGAAAGCCCACTCGCTACCGCTACATTCTTGACCAACGCAAAATCACGTACAAAATCAGTATTCAACAAGAACGAAAGGTCGTACTCGGATAAAAAGATAAACACAAAGCAATGCGCATTTTGTCACGAAATCGGACACACACCCGTCAACTGCACTAAAGTCACAACCGTTAATACGCATATGAATATAGTCAAGAGCAAACGACTGCCTAGGTCGCCACAAACTAACTGATTGTAAAATCAAAAAGTAACTGCCGAAATTGTAACAAACGTCATCACACTAGCATATGTAGTAAAGACGAGAAATCCGAGGAATCGAACAAACCGCCACCAAAAGAAACCGGAAATACGGTATTACACTTTTCCCTAACACAAAGAACTACAAATGTATTGTTAAAGACCGCAGTCGCTACAGTTAGTTCTGGAAAACAAAGTACAGAAGCCAATATTCTGTTAGATGAAGGTGCGCAGAGGTCCTTCATATCGGAGAAACTTGCAGAGAAGTAAGATTTAGTAACAAGCGGAAAACAAAATAAACATGTAAGACACATGAAATCCACAACAGTTCAAATCCAAACAGATGAAAGCGAAAATATACCACTAAACGTACTAATTATTTCTGAAAATGCCACTACAAGTTCACGTGAAATCCGTTGTTAATATGAGACACTTACGAGGATACATCCTGTATCGGACGATGACATGTTTGAAATTGAAATACTAATTGGAGCAGATTATTATTGGAGTTTTGTTGGAGATGACATAATAAGAGGTGAAGGACCAACCGCAGTCGAATCCAAGCTTGGATGCCTCCTATCAGGACCCACAATGGCAAGTACATGTACCACATGTAGGAACTCTATACTTAATGTTATCGTATCACACAAGACAGAGGAATTAAACCTAGAGAAATTGTTAGAGATTGAATCGCTTGAGGTTGAATGTAAGACCGAAAATACTGAAAACGACGAATTTCAGAAAATATACGAAGAAACAGCAATATCTTACAAGAACAACAGGTCTTTCGTCAAACTCCCTTGGAAAGCAGAACACCCACCGCTACCAACAAACAAGGCTGTTGCTTTGAGAAGGACTGAGAGCGTAATTAGACGTTTACATAAGGAACCAAAAATTACTTTTAAAATACGGAGAAATAACTGATGAGCAGGAAAAGAGAGGGTTCATTGAGAGAGTTGATAATGAAGAAATCAAACCAAATATCAAACTGCATTACATACCACATCACCCAGTGAAGAAGGATTCAGTGACGACGCCAATCAGGATTGTATATGATTGTAGCTGTAAACAGACACCCGATAGTGCCAGTTTGAATAACTTCTTACTGAATGTACCGCCAAAATTTAATGAAGTCACCGCCATACTACTCAGATTCCGCATGAATAAGTACGCAGTATCTACAGACATCGAAAAAGCGAAAAGTGTTGGACTGGACATTGAGGACTGGGACTAACTAGGTTTTTCTGGTTGAGTAAACCAACAGACCCAAACAGCGATTGAACAACATACAGATTCAAGTCCGTATTATTCGGTGCTACATGCTCACCATTTATATTGAACGCCGTATTATCAGAGCGCTTGAATAACCATCTATTTGATTTCACGAAAAACTTACCAAATAGTTATATGTAGATAACATTGTATTAAGCTTTGAATCAGAGGAAGAGCTGTTGATATACTTCAAACTCGTTCGTAGTTTATATGCAGATGGAAGATTTAACTTGCGCTCAAGGGCCTCGAACAGTCAACTATTAAAATTATTAGCAAGATCCGAAAACGTTATGGACAACGATCAACTAATTAAAATCTTATGATTACGATGGGATACAGCCAGTGACACATCTAGATACATCAGAACAAATAACAACAAACAGCTGAAATTGTACATAGGTAAAGATAAATTAATTCGCTGCGACGGACGCATTCATAATGCACCGCTTGAAGAATATACGAAATTCCCGATGTTGCTACCCGCAAAGGAAAAATTGACACAACTAATAATGATGGACGCACATGTAATTCATTTACAAGAAGTCATCGTTGATAATTCACAAGCTACAAAGAGCACCTTTACAATACAAGGGATCGGAAATGTCATCGATGTGAATAAATTTAACTCATTCAAGAAAGTTCTACGAATTACCGCTTTATACGTGAGAAGATTTATTATAAACTGTAGAACACAAGCGATACAAACAGGCACGTTAAACACAATCGGAATACAAAACGCATCTATAACGTGAATATAATACACTCAGAAAAGACACTATTCAGAAATCATTCAAGATTTACAAACAGGAAAGGGGGAAAACACAACCTTGTCAAACAGCTGAAATTGTACATAGGTAAAGACAAATTAATTCGTTACGACGGACGCATTCATAATGCACTGCTTGAAGAATATACAAAATTCCCGATATTGCTACCCGCAAAGGAAACATTATAATAATGGATGCACATGTAACTCATTTACATTCAGGATTATTGAGTACCGTAACATTACTCCGCCAAACTTATTGGATATCATCGAAACGACAAGTTATCAAGAGCATTATACATAAATGCGTGATCTGCAAGAAAGTTGCTAGTCGACCGTATTTGGCTCCAGATCCGCCACCTTTACCAAAGGACCGACTTACATAAGCACCACCGTTTACAGTAATTGGAGTAGATTTTACTGGTGCCTTGAATGTTAAAACCACAGATGGACACACCAGTAAAGTATATATTTGTCTATTTACTTGCGCAAACACCCGTGCTCTACATTTGGAAGTAGTGATGAATTTATCTGAAGAGACATTCTTATTAGCGTTTCGAAGATTCGCCAGTAATAAATCATTCCCTAAAACTATTATTTCTGACAACGCTACAACATACATCGCCGCCGCCAATCAGATTGATGAATTAACACACTCACCATCAGTTATAGAAAAACTCAACAACTTCTGCACTACATGGAAGTTTATACCAACAAGAGCACTGTGGTATGGTGGATTTTGGGAGAGGCTGACAGGACTTACAAAGGACTGTATCAAAAAGGTGTTAGGACGTTCTCTGATTAACGTTGAATTACTCAGAACCATCGCTACGGAAGTTGAAACTATACTCAACGACAGACCTTTAACATACGTATCAACAGGCCTGTTAGATGAACCGCTCACTCCGTCGCACTTGCTTTACGGACGTAGAATTACATCACTACCTTTCCCTGCGAATCGGGAATTGGAACATTCACTATATGATATGAC